ACTCTCATCATTGGCTCGTGTTTTATTACAATGTATTTAATAAGCAATTATGGAAACACTCTTCCAAAGAAAAACTGGAATTTTGACAGCAGCATATCCATTTTGTCTCATGTCATCTGGGGTAAGCATCCGAATCTATGCTATCATTCTGTCTTTTCTTTTAAAACAGTTTTATTTTATCTATAGTAGTTTTTTCAAATAGTCCACCTAGGCTGACCTTGAACTTGCTGCATAGTTAAGGATGTTAGGAATGATCTTAAGCTCCTGATTCTCTTGTCTCTCTCTCTTTTTTTTTTTTTTTTGGTTTTTCGAGACAGGGTTTCCCTGTGTAGCTTTGCGCCTTTCCTGGGACTCACTTGGTAGCCCAGGCTGGCCTCGAACTCACAGAGATCCGCCTGGCTCTGCCTCCCGAGTGCTGGGATTAAAGGCGTGCGCCACCACCGCCCGGCCTTGTCTCTCTCTCTTAACTCCTGCAGTTATGCCCTGGTGTCTATAGTGCTTTGTTTTTTAACTAACAAATATTGTATGTATTCTTTTTGGGGTTTAATCTTTTCACTTCTTATTTTTTATTTTTATTTATTTATTTATTTATTTATTTATTTATTTATTTATTTTTGTTTGTTTTTCGAGATAGGGTTTCTCTGTGTAGCTTTGTGCCTTTCCTGGAACTCACTTGGTAGTCCAGGCTGGCCTCGAACTCACAGAGATCCGCCTGGCTCTGCCTCCCGAGTGCTGGGATTAAAGGCATGAGCCACCACCGCCCGGCATCTTTTCATTTCTTGTTGCAATTTTGGTAGAATTTTTTTAGAGGTCTTAATGCCTTTCTATTTTTACTGTTTTGTTTTTTTTTTTCTTTTTTGGTGGTGGGTAATGGTTTCACTCTGTAGCCCAGGCTGGCTCTGGACTCTTGGCAGTCCTTCCTTACTCTCCAGAGTGTTGGGGTTACAAGTGTGAGCCCCTGTACCCTGCTCATCCAGATAGAGATGGATGCTTGCCCAACGTTAACTTACCAAATGATTGACCTGGGAGCCATATGGATCTCAAGAGCGATTCCTGGACAGGGTCGAGGGGAGGACAGAAAGCTGACTGCAGTTCTGACCCAGGAGGCTGTGTGGAGTGGGCGAGCTGCTGTTGCTGCTTTCCTAACTGGACCTTCATTTTGTGGGTGGATGCCACACCCAACACTGATCGCTGGGTATGGCAGCTCCCTGGAGCTGTTGTTACTGTGGTGACACCCGGTGGAGGAGGGGAGGGGGAGGGGAGGGGGCAGAGGCAGGTTCCTCCTTAGCTAGTTCACCCTTTCCCCAGGTCAGCACACTCTTCAAGGGCTTAGGAATACTCTTTACACAGATGGAATAATAAGGCTGTCTCACGAACTGGAACACTCTCACATAAAGAACATAAATCTAAAGCAATTCTGCTGTTTTGTTTTTCATATAGCCCAGGCTCACTTTAAATTCCCTGTACAGTTCAGGATGACTTTGGCACCCCATCCTCTTTCTTCTGTCTCCCGGGTGCTGTGATTACGTGTGGGCGTGGCACCACACGTAGTTTATGTAACAGTGGGGACTAATTCAGGGCCTAAAGTGTATAGGCAGGCGCTCTACCAGCTGAGCTACGTCTCTAGCCCCTAACCTGTTCCTTGGTTTACGTGGTTTGTTTCTTCTTTTCAAAAAATTGTAGTGCTAGGGTTCTGACCCAGGGCCTTGGGCATACTAGATAAGTGACCTGCCACTGAGCCACATGGCTTAAGCGTGTGGTCTCACTTAACTCATGCTCTGATTCTAAGTGCTGCAGAATACAGAAAAATCGTATCCCTGGGCAGGTTTGTGGCCAAGCCTATACCCAGCCGTTCAAGGTCATTCTCAGCTACATAGTGAGTTGTAGGTTAGCCTAGGCTACATGGGCCTGTCTTCAGTCTCCCCACTCCCTGAGAAAATAACACCCTTGTTTTAATTCTCAGCTTCAAATTCTAACCTTTCCGGTTTTTAGTTTCAAACTTTCTCCTAAACCCTTACATCTGTGACTGTCCTTGACTCTTCTTGTCCCATTCCTCTCAAGTATTATGGGTTGCTGTTTAGTTAGCAACTTAGCAGAAAACAGACAGCGTGCTCTGTATGTATCATGCCATCCACTTGCTACTCTATGGAGTAGTAACATCTCTATTCCTGTGTTAGCTGAGAAAACCGAGGTGTAATGAATGTGGCCAAGGTTCATATCGAGTGAAGTTGAAATCCGAGTCAGTTGTTTGTTTTGAGACAGGGTCTTGCTATGTATTCCAGACAGGCAATCCTCCTGCCTCAGCTTCCCAAATGCTAGCGTTAGAGGAATGTGCCACCACAGTTAGCTTTGAGCCTGTTTATTGGTTTAAATATTAAGGCAACTCCACGTAGTTAAAAGGGAGGTTTATTTTGTGGGGTAACTTACAAGTGAAGGGATAGGTTACAGGGTCTGGGAAAGGTGAAGCGCAGTCCGGCGGTGTTCTCTGGAGAACTCTGCTCAGTCTACCTTCAGCGTCCAGGATCCAGGAACCAAGAGAGCTCGCCCATATGGATCTCAGGTCTTCAGGGGTCCTCTCTCGGCTCCACCTTGTAGGCGTGACAGTTACGGAAGCCTTAAAGGGGGTGGTATTTCCAGGTCAAAGCTGGACCAGCTACCCACTACACCTGTTTAGTTTTCAAAGTTTTTAGGTAATGATGCTTTTGGCTCTAAGTAAAAGAAAGTATAATAATGGAATAGAAAGGCTGGTCAGTTCAGCTGCTCAGTGTTACTATCAAAGACTTTCTGCTGGACTTCATCTGTTCCATCCCCATGCACGGAGGCTTTGTCCCCAGTAGCTTTCTTAAGGGTTTTGAGATGCTTGCTGAAGTGTTCCTACATCACACCAAGGACTGTTTAGAGGCAGAAAGCAATTTCACTTCCTCCTGTGTGTCTCTTTCTGACGAGCCAAGACTTTTCCCCCAGGACCTTTCCCAGCTGCCATAGCTCCTCTCCATCTTGTCCAGAGGGCCAGAGGCCCAGGCTTAGACTCTAGATTGGTTTTTTTAAAGCAAAGTTGACTTGTCTGCTGGTCTTACCCTTTATCCTCACATGAGTCTCCTTCTTCCCTGGACCCCTTGAGTGGGAGCATCCGCTGGGTTACCATTCACTGACCTTCCTTGTGTTGGAAGCTGAGGCATCGGGAGCCAATGAGAGGAAAGTCAGTCTCTTTTCTTGTGGGTTTTTTTTTTTTTTTTTTTTTTTTTTTTTTTTTTTTTTTTTTTTTTTTTTTTCTAGACAGGGTTTCTTTATATAACAGCTCTGGCTTTCCTGGAACTTTCCTGGACCAGGTTGGCCTCAAACTCACAGAGCTCCACCTGAGTGTTGGGATGAAGGTGTGCACCACCACCATAAAGTCAGTCACTGACCCTCAGAGCCTCAGTAAGCTCAGGGATTTTAACCTTCACACTGCAGTGTGGAGAATTGGGGTCCAAAGGACATTAAGGTACTTGCTCCAAGAGGTTGAGGCCCTCAGGATAGGAGTCAAAGCTTGCCTGGCCTCATGTCCCAGTTCTTGCCCATACGCCACAATTCTGGCGTTACACTCTTCTGAATTAAAAGATATCTGTGCCCTGGGGCACACACGTGAGCAGTAGAGGGCTTTCCTGGCGTGCGCTTGGCCTGCCCTGGAAAAATAAACATCTGTATGCATTCCTGTGGGCTTCAGAGCGGACAGGGTAAACAGTGCCCCCTGCAGTTGTGCATACAGTGGCTCAGTCCTGCCCAAAGGCCTGTGAACTCCCATTAGTGCGTTCTGCCATCCACAGGGTGCTGAGCCAAGCAGAGCATAGTGATGAAGTGGATGACTCATGTTATAGCGCATCCAGGAAATAATCCTTTATTAATGCAAATCATTTTAATGATACTGCCAGAAGCTCTAGGATCCCCCATGTCCACCCCCGCCCCCTCCCCAGTCCTCCCACCCTCACGCTCTCCCCTTTGGATGACTCAAGTTCTCCTTGAAGCCTTTTTCTACAGAAACCCCAGCTCTTTCCACAAGCCTCACAGGGCGCCCCAGCCACCTCTCTTCAGCCAGGAAGGGCCTTAAGCAGCAAGTCTTCTGACACAGAGCCAGATGGCCCTACGGGGCTTGTCCCCTCACCTCCACCTAGAGGCTTCCTTGGGATGGAGTGAGGCAGCATACGCCTCAGCCTTGCCCCACGTGACAGGTTGGCATTAGTCTGCTCCTCTCTAGCTCTGCCGGCTTTGCCCTAGCAATCTCCACTCCAGTGCCTTCCGTCTCCACCCTCGGCCCCGCCCCTTCCTCTGGCCCCGGAGCCCTGGACACAGTACACACAGCCCAGAGTTCCCACTGGACGGAAATAGAAGGAACTGTTGGGGTTCCCATGGCTGTGGTCAACACCTTCATCCCAGGGCTCAACCCTCAGAATCCTCATTATATTCCAGGGTAAGACTTCTGCCCACAACGCTCTCCTGCTTGCTTTGGGGAACAGGGGTCTGGGGATACAGGAGTTGGTTCACTTAGCCTGGGTCAGACTGACATCTTGGTTTGAGAGTGGGGGTACCTGTGGCGTTGTATGAAAAGGGGAAACGAGAGGCTAGAATAGCTGGGTCTAACAAAGCTTTGTGTTGTCTTCTCTATGGAAACGGGGTGAAACCCAGGTGGAGGGCTCCGACATGCTTGCTCCAGGGCTCGGGAAGTAGCAGTTTCAGTGGTTTAGTGCTTCCCTGGCGTGCACAAGGCTCTAGGTTCAGTCTCTAGTAGGTAAAACAAAGAAACAAAAATGACCTACAGACTAAAGCTGGGGGTGATGGGTGGTCGGTACCTGCCTGATCCCAGCCTGGGGTGGGGAGGGGGTACAAAGATCAAAAGAAACACACACAGAGGGAAATACACGATTTCTCCAAGTATACACCAAGAGCAGGGTCTGGCTGCCTGTGTCAGGATGGCGGTGGTGTGGGGGTCAGTCTTGGAGCTAAGGCTGAGTCCTGCGCTTCAGGTACACTGGACACTGTCCACTACTTCGGTTCAGCATGGGCCAGACCTATGGGCAGGTGACCGGTCAGCTACTTCGAGGCTCTCCTGGTCTAGCCTGGCCTCCTGCCCACCGTACACTTCTGCCTCCCATCCAGTCTCCACGCTCCCCTGTAATTTCCAGGGAGAGGCTACCTCCCAGGCGTGGGCATGAAAGACTCAGCTCCAGCATAATCCCTGGGTATACAGGTCTGTATGGAGTCCTGAACGGGTGTCCCCTTCCCAGAGAATGTGTCCCGAATACTAACACATCTTTCTCTCTGCTAGGTTTTATACCACAGGCACAGTTCATTTTTGCCAAGAATCGCAACCAGGTTTGGGCTGAAGCTATGGATGATTTTACGCAAAGGCATGGGCCGCAGGAGAGTCATGAATTGTCAGAGGAGGCCGAGGAAAGAAAGGAGGAGGAGGAAGGCCAAGGGCCGGAGGCAGAGGAGCCAGAGCTGAAGCAGGAGGTGGCCCAAGTGAGAAGGGGAAGGCGAGTGGTGGGATGGGAGTCTGTGCACAGGCCTGGGGTCACCATGGGGAATGTGGCCGTGCGTACAGGACACGGGGCTTGGCTGCCAGCTCTGTCTCCTGGGTGCCTGAACTTACAGTCCTAGCTTTCTTTCATTAACATGTCTCACAAGGCTTCCCCCTACTCCATGGATAACACAGATCCCCAGAAATTCTTCATGTCAGGTGAGAGGACGTGGGTAACGACCCAGGCCCAGGGGGGAGCTCCAGGATGTCTTGTCTCAGCATCTCCCCCACCCCCCAGGCTTCACTGGCTACGTGCCCCGTGCCCGCTTCCTCTTCGGCTCCAGCTTCCCCGTGCTCACCAACCAGGCACTGCAGGAATTTGGGCAGACATGCTCACGGGGCAGGGTGCAGAAGGATCCCAAACCTTCCTCCCCACTCCCCAGGTCCAACTTCCAGAACCTGGGTCTCCTCCCTCACTATGGAGGCTACGTGCCAGGTGAGAAGTGTCTAAGAGGCTTTGGGAACTGGGAGGTACGTGCAGGTGGGGTGGTTTGGGGAACTGGAATAAACAGATAAGGACGATGTCAGATTCTGTGATTTAGCTTTAGAGGAAGCCGAGGCAGCTGAGGGAGTTGGGAGCAGATTTCCGAGGGCGGTTTGGAGAGTCTATGCAATTGGCTGGGAATTAAGTGGATTTTTCATGCCTCTGGCCACACATGACAGGACTCTCTTCACCACACAGGGTATAAGTTCCAGTTTGGCGGGACATTTGGGCATCTCACCCATGAAGCTCTGGGTCTCGGCACCACTCAGAAACAGCTCTTGGCTTAAGTACCTGGACCTCAAGTTCTCCCTTTTCATCCTATCCCAGTGATCTTTCTGGAAGGAAGAGAGGCGGGGAGGGGGAGGGGCACAGAGAAAATGGTCTGGAGGCTGAGCACCTTTTTATTAATAGGTGTAATAAATAAATAAATAAATAAATACATAAACAGAAGCCTGGGCTCCTCCTCCTCTTCTGACCAGAAACTGGTCACTGCCTATTTACAGCCAGAGGGGCTTAGGACTCTGGCCCCAATACTGTCATCCATCCTCATTGTCACTCAGCCTAGTGAACCCACAAATGACCTCTGGGCCACCGCCCTCCAGAGACTGGTCTACACCCATGAAGTACTGGCCCAGATGGGCCAGGAAACGTCTTGGCAGCCCAGCACTGTGCCCTCCCGTCCTCTCCCGGGTGGAGGTCTGGACAGGGTCGCTGGGGCAGCTGAGGAGGAGTAAGTAATACTGAGCACAGGGAGCAGGTGCCGGCACAGGGACATGTGGCCCCCAGCTCTCGGTCTACGATTTGTTGCCAAGCCTAAGGGCTTGGGAAGGACTCTCAGGCTCTGAGTCTCGGGGAATATGAGGGTCCCTGAGGCCACCAGCATGCACTAGGCCTCAGTTTTGGCTGCTTCCAGGCGGTGAACTTGGAGTTGGGGTCAGTGTCACATAGGCCAGCGGTACCAAGCCAGTGTCAGGGCCTCGGCGACAGCGCAGCCAATCTCCTCCGGCCGCCCCCAGCACCCGCAGGATGTCTCCTTTGTGGAAGCTCAGTTGTCCAGGGCCTGTAGCCAGATGGTGGCACAGGGCCTGCACCTCGCTGGAGGGACAGCAGACGGAGGTCAGGGAGGGCCCCAGAACGCCAGGCAAGCTCCCCAGGACGTCACCCCCCCAGGCGTACCACGGCGGTTTGGAGGGCAGGGCTGCCGAGTGTGACTCTTGCAGGCTCTCTCTGGGCTCCGGCTCCCGACGGGCCCCCATCGTCTGTGCTACGAGCTGGAACACAGACCTGTCCAGACTCAGCCAGTCTGACGGCAGCCTAGGGGAGAGGAGAGGGCGTCCGCGCTGCCTGTCCACACTAGAGCAGCTCTGCCACACCACCGTCTACGCCAGCGTGGCTCTCACCTGTTTGTGGGCCGAGCTTCCCGGGGAGCTTTCCGAGAACCGAAGAGGTGTCCCCACTTGATGCCCCCGGGTGAGGGCTCTGCGGTCCCCTCTTCATTTTCTGCTGCTGGGGCCACAGGCCCTTCCCTCTCTCGACTACGCCTCAGCTCAGCTAGCACAGAGTCAGGGGGGCTCCCCATCCAGAAAGGCCAGCCCCTTTCTTGGCCAAGGGCTTCCTCAGGGGCCGGGCAGGCCTCAGCCCCCTCGACCACACCTTCCCGGGGCGGTGGAGCCTGGGAAGGCCCCGCACTGCCTCCCCCTTTCTTTTTCTCACTCCCACCGCTGCTACTGCGAGGGAATCTAGAGCCCTCGGGAGCGCCATCGATGTAGACCTGGGAGCTCTGCATGAGCTGGTACCACCAGCCAGCCTGACCCCCTCGGGTCCACCTGCCGTGCTCTGAGCTCCCCCCAACCACAGCCACCTCTGCCGTGTCTTCCTCGTCCTCTTCTCCACCTTCTGAGGCACCCACACCCTTCACACGCTCCCCGGGGGCCGCCCTGTCCATGTCTCCGGGGCCCTCCTGGCCTGGGGCCCTGGCCAGCTGCCACGTGGAGTGTGCAGACAGCAGCAGGTCCTGGGACACACGCAGCAGTTCCTTGTGCTGCCGCTGCTGCTGCCCACTCTGCAGCAGCCGGTGCTGGAACAGCAGGTCAAGGCTGAAGGGCAGCAGGGCTAAGGGCTGCAGCAGCAGCAGCAGCTCCTCGAAGAGGCCAGGGCACACTGTGTGGGCGGCACGCAGGAAGCCCCAGGGCTGGTAGTGGGTCTGGATGATATCTAGAGAGAGAGAGAGACAGATTCACACACAGAAGTGGAATCTGGCCTGAGAAGGACACGGAGAAGCAACCTGTGCCAGCATGCATGCCCCTGCCAGGCTGCATGCCCCTGCCAGGCTGCGCTCTGCTTCAGCTCACACGGAGCCTGCTGCAGTGGCCGGTGCATGCATCCTGTCACCTGATGTGGCAAGCGCTCATGGCCACCCTGACTCCGAGACTGCCTAAGTCTGCTGCTGCCCCAGGGTTCTAAGTCAAGTAGAAGCCCCAAACTCCGAGAATGAAAGTCCGGGTGGGCCTCCTCCCCGTCTCCTGCTCGGAGTTGGTAAGCCAGCGCAGGCTGTGGGCATTACCTTCATGGTTATACAGGTGATTAAACCAGAACTCCAGGGACCGGATGCTGTAGAAAGAGAGGTGGAAGGGTTACGTCTCGCATGGATCCAGCCAGATGATGAGGCACAAAGGATATGGGTGCAGAAGGCCAGGTACAGGGAAGAAATACGGATGGACACCGATGGCTGGGTGCTGCCTGGTTTACCTTGGAATGTAATTCTGGAAAGTCAATGGGATGTGGGGAGTGGGGTGACCATGGAATTCACAAGTCAGTCATTTCTTCTTGGAATGGCGGCAGTATACATACACCAGAGTGACGACTGCTCTCGGCCAAAGGTAATGACGGGCCGCTGCGTGGGAAATACTACTACTATGGCATGCGCTCTGAGGTGAGTTTAGGTCGGAGGCAGAATTTAGAAGCAGAGTTGGAGTTGAGAGGATCACAGTTTGGCAGACCCTGGACCCTGAGACACCTAACTTGTCTCTAGCCGTTGCTAAGTAGGCCAGGCCATGGGTCTGCAGGTGGACGAGACGGTTGGTAGGCAGTGTCCGGAGGGCGGGGGTGCAGAGCGAGAAGCCAGTGCCCGCTGAGAGGCTGCAGCTGGGTGGACTACAGGGACCCCAAGGCCCTGCATGAACACTGCAGACACCCCCGTCTCAGTCCAGTCAGCCCTTTGGAGGACTCAGAGCTATGGCGGCGCTGCCTGCTTAGATCCCGCCTTCCACACACTTACTTGAGCAGGCCGAGGATGAAGGCGTTGAAGCGCATCGTGTGACTGGTAAGTTCTGGGAACTGGCTGACTTTGTTGTAGAGACCATGCAAGACCTTGGTGGACGGGCCTGGAAGCAGACAGGGATGGAGATCACATCTCTGGAACCCTGAGCTCTGTATGGAGCCCAGTGTCGAAATCCAGCACCTACCTAGCTGTGTAGAAGCCTCAACCACACTCCAAGGCATGTTTTTACGTTGTCCAATGATCACATCTAGCACGAAGGCCTTGAGCCCATCCTCCAGCACAGCTTGGACTGCAGGGCACAGGTACTTCAGAACCAGGTGGCCGACGTTGGGGCTCACAGAACTGTTTCCCAGCTTCGCCTGCGGATGCACAGGGCGACATGAGAAGCCTGACCTTGTTCTCACTTAGCCAGCCCACCGGCTTCCCTCTGGCCATTTCCACCCCTGGGTTCCAGCTCTGGGCTCTGGATTCGAGAGAGCAAGGAAAGGTGACAACACACAGCTGAGTCTGCAGGACGTAGCTCAGCTCCTCACAGTGCAGCCTACCTTGACACCAGGGTCCCGGCTTGTGCCGAAATGGGCCACAATGAGGTCTACAGCGGTGTTGACAGCTTTCACCAGCCCTGGGAGGAAGAAGTCGACGTGACAGGTCCCTTTTCAAGACTCTAGCCACCCAGTGGAGGCATACCCCTTGGTGGGGAAGAGGAGGCTGTCCCACGCTCGCTCACCCGTCCCTCCCCACCGTCATCGTATCTCCTTGTCCTGCTCTCTCCACAGGGGCCTCTCCCCTCTCTGACCTTTACATCTCACTTGCTACACGGTACTCTAGCTTCTCCTTTGCCAAGCTCCTGCCCTTTTGCCCACACTTATGCTTAGTTATTTTACCAACATCTCCCTAAACTTACGCATAGGTCACTGGTCACTAATCTGCTAAACAGCATGTTCCTGTCAGTCTTCTCAAATGTCACCAACATATGCACTCAAGGGGCTAGACCTTCAGCACTTAGGGACTTTTTGTTTGTTTGGATAACATGGTCTCACTATGTTACCCTGTCTGGCCTGGGATTCACAGACATCCACCTGCCACCGCCTCCCACGTGCTAGTATTAAAGTTGTTTGCTACCATGCCAAGTTTTTTTTTGTTTTTCTTTTTTCTTTTTTTTTCAGAGCTGAGGACCAAACCCAGGGCCTTGCACTTGCTAGGTAAGCACTCTACCACTGAGCTAAATCCCCAAGCCCCCATGCCAAGTTTCTTGTATGTATGTATGTATCTATCTATCTATCTCTATCTATCTTGTGAGACAGATGTAGCCCTGGGTGTCCTGGAACTCAGAAATCCACCTGCCTCTACCTCCCATCACACCAGGCTCCTGTAAATTTTTTTAAAATTCTATAACAGTCTCTCTCATACTTAGTTGCTGAGGAGGGACTGAAGCCCGATTCTTGAGTTCCTGATACATGACCTTCATGCACTACATTACACAAGCTTCCACCTCTTGCCCTAATTCTCATGGACTTCTGATTGGTATTGGGGTTTCAAGACAGATGTTCTGGAGGGTTAGCTAAGGCACCGGGCACAGCAGGTAGTGAGGGCGGAGGCCCTGGACCAGGCTGGGTGTGGATACGTACCTTTTTTCTGAAGTACATCAATGGAAATGGCCTCTGAGTTGCCATCTGGAGACAGACAAAACTCAGCTGGAGGCTTCTCAGTTAAGGAGAAGGGGTCCTGGAGGTCAGGGCAGGTCAATGGTAACGGTTTTGCAACCTGACCTGGAAAGAACAGAAAAAACTTATCCTGAAGCTCTTCCCAAGAGTTCTTAGCTCAGCTGAGTGCCCTCCACCCTCTCAGACTAACTGACCCCTCCCCAGCCCTTCCCAGCTTGCCCCGGTTATACCAGGGACTGTGGCCACACACCATTCAGTCGGTAACTCAGATGGCTGGCAGTGCCCAAAGAACCGGGGAACTCAAAGATGGGGTTCCTGCGGGCCAGCCGAGCTTCCTGTGGCCTTCGGTCTAGGCTTCCTGACAAGCCAGGTGGCCCTAACGGGTTCTTCCTCCTGTACTCCCTCCACTTGAGGGCTTGAGGGGATAGGTGGTTGGCTGGGGGAGAACAGGGAGAGGAAGAGTTAGGAGACAGTATTTCACATCTACCCAGATGTGCCAGATGCTG